ACGGAGCAAGTGGTGACGGTGGATGGGGGCGCCGTTGCATCGTATGTGCAGGTGAGAATCGTATTTCTTTGTCATTTGATTGAAACGGAGCAAGTGGTGACGGTGGATGGGGGCGCCGTTGCATCGTATGTGCAGGTGAGAATCGTATTTCTTTGTAATTTGGTTGAAACAGAGCAAGTGGTGACGGTGGATGGGGGCGCCGTTGCATCGTATGTGCAGGTGAGAATCGTATTTCTTTGTCATTTGGTTGAAACAGAGCAAGTGGTGACGGTGGACGGGGGCGCTGTTCCATCCTACGTGCAGGTGAGCGGCATGGGAGTTAAGACAGAACAGCTGTGATATGAGAAGGCCCACCCAACCCACCTAGTTCAGTCAGGAAATGTTATTTCAGTGCTGTCTCCTCTCCTCTCTGCCCTTGTTCTCCTTCTTTTTGCCCTCCCTATTTCTCTCGCTCACTTCCTCTTTAGATCAGGGGCTCCATCCCTGTGCTGTGGGAGCAGATCGTTGACCTCACATACACACGTGTTGCTTTGAGGCGTCTCACTCATCTTGAAGGATGCCTGCTTGCCCTCACATACACCTTGCGTCGAAGCGCCTCATTTCAATGCTTCTTGCTTGCTATCCTGCACTCTCCCCTCTGCCCTCGCTCCCCCTCCTCTCAGATCAGGGGATCCATCCCAGTGCTGTGGGAGCAGATCGTCAACCTCACGTACAGTGCGTTGATTGAAGCACCTCACTTCAAACTTTAACGCTCAAATGCTCCCCTCTGCTCGCCCCCCTCTGCCCTGGCTCCCCCCCTCTCTCAGATCAGGGGCTCCATCCCTGTGCTGTGGGAGCAGATCGTCAACCTCACGTACACACACTCTGTTAAAGCGTTGTCTTCTTGCTATCCTGTCATCTCCCCTCTCCCCTCTGCTCCCCTCTCTCTCAGATCAGGGGCTCCATCCCTGTCCTGTGGGAGCAGATCGTCAACCTCACTTACAGTGCGTTGATTACTTTAACGCTCAAATGCTCCCCTCTGCCCTCGCTCTCCCTCCTCTCAGATCAGGGGATCCATCCCAGTGCTGTGGGAGCAGATCGTCAACCTCACATACAAGCCCAAGCTCCAGACGGTCGTCACAGCCGCTGTAAGATATGCCCCAAAGTTCCAAGAGAGCATAGAGCACAGAGCGCAGAGCGCAGAGCGCAGGGTTCTTTAGAATTCGCAGAAAGCGATCTCCATCTAAACCGTTGCTACAGCTTCTTTAGGTTGTATTCTATATATTCGGCCCCAGCTCACTGAGCTATTTCTGGATCTCGCGTGGCCCCAGATATTCATTATGTTTCCATGGGATAGGTGATAAAGCACTGCATGGATCTTTTCCCGAGTACCTTCCACGTTTGCCTTATCTTCCACCAACACCCCCCTGCACTGCACTGCACTGCACTTCTCTCACACTCCTCTACCCACTTGTAACATGCTTCCGCTTCTCCTCATACCCCACCCGCCTCGCCCTCCCCCTTTCCCGTCACTCCTGGGTCCAACGACCAACGCCACCCACCCTTTCCTCCCACTAACATCCCTCCCCTCTTTTGATTCGACTCAAAAGTCACCTCATGCCCCACCCGCCTTGCCCTCCCCCTTTCCTGGGTCCAACGACCAACGCCACCCACCCTTCCTCCCCCTATCATCCCTCCCCTCTTCCCCCCTCAACCTCCCAGCAACCCTTTGAAGCGGCCCTGAGGCATCATCTTAGGGGCCTCAAGAAGAAACCTACCGGGGCTGTCGGTTTTTGTTGTACTCAATAGTCCTTTCCTCCCCTACCCTACGCGCCCTCCTCTCTCCCCCCCCTCCTCCCTTTCTCCTCAACCCTCAGCAACCCTTTGAAGCGCCCCTGAGGCAGCATCTTAGGGGGCTCAAGGAAGTCTACGGGCCTGTCATTGCTGTTGACCTGGTCAACCAGGTACTGTACTGAGGGAGGAGAGTTGGGAAAATAGTGTCCCGTTGACCAGGTCAACAGTGTCCTGTTGACCAGGTCACTTACTGGGAGGGAGAAATACGAGGATATCTGTTGACCTGGTCAACCAGGTACTGGTAAAGATAGGGCGTGTACCTGTTAACCCAGTCAACCGTGCAGATGGGGTAAGATAGGCCGGTCCTTGATTGCTTGCTTGGTTTGTTTGACCCTGCTTGATGGCTGCGAGTCAGACATGTGCCCACTGCAACCAGTCATGCAGTGAGTGAGAGCCAGCAGCTAGTCCCGTCCTGTTGACTTTTGAGTCGACTCAAAAGTCAACTTGTTTGACCCTGCTTGATGGCTGCGAGTCAGACATGTGCCCACTGCAACCAGTCATGCAGTGAGAGCCAGCCAGCAGCTAGTCCCGTCCTGTGCTTTGCTATTCACTTTGTTTCACTGCTGCTGCTAGAGTATGCCTTTTCCATTCTGACGATTCTCTGCAATTCTGTTGACTGTTGTTGGCGATGTGCATGCATGCATGGAATAGAATGCCTTGCTGTGGGGGATGGCATCTGCAATGTGTTATGGCATGCCTTGTTTCTGGTGTGGCATGCCATGGTATGGCATGGCATGTCACGGTCACGGGTGTGGCATACCACCGCACTGCATGCATGGCATCTCATCTCATGGCAGGATGGTGGGGAGAGCCGCATCGGTTCAGCATATGCTGGAGCTGTGAACGCCATCAAGGACTCTGACTTGCGGTAAGGCCCCTATAGTGCCTATGCACTCTGATCTGAGTGTGGCCTGCACGCCTGCTGCATGATTGCATGATTGCATGTATAGCATCATCCAGTGTGCAGCATATGCTGGAGCTGTGAACGCCATCAAGGACTCTGACATGCGGTAAGGCCCCTGCATGTACCATGTACATACTCTAGGTGTATTTGGCATGCATGCATACACCTATCGTTTAGCAGCATAAGCTGGAGCTGTGATGTGAACGCCATCAAAGATGCTGACATGCGGTAAGGCCCCTGCATGTACCATGTACATACTCTAGGTGTATTTGGCATGCATGCATACACCTATCGTTTAGCAGCATATGCTGGAGCTGTGATGTGAACGCCATCAAAGATGCTGACATGCGGTAAGGCCCCTGCATGTGGTGTTTTGTGTACTGTAGTGTGGTTTGCATGTTTGCATGTGTGCACTGTGCACATCGTACAGCATATGCCGGAGCTGGGAACGCCATCAAAGACTCTGACATGCGGTAAGGCCCCTGCATGTACCATGTACTCACTTTTCAAGTAGAATGGACAGTCGCACACACACGCATACGCCTAGTGTTCTGCATATGCCGGTGCTGTGAACGCAATCAAGGACTCGGACTCAGACAAGTGGTAAGACCCACATACATGTACCACGTAGACACTCTGAGAGTGCAATATGCATGCATCTAGCCTCGTGTGCTCTGTTATGTTAAAGCCAGAGCTGCGAACCCCATCATCTATGTGGCGTGTTGACATGACGACACTCACCAGCAGTGATGCGTCACCAACGCTCATGTAATATCTCATTCAGCCAGCTGCGTTCTGTACTTCCCCCACCTCCTCTCTCCCTCCCTCTCCCACCAGCTACGTGCCGTTTGACTTCCACCACGAGTGCGGCGCCACCAAGTACCACCAGCTCTCTGTGCTGGACGGCCAGATCGGCAAGGACATGGAGACCCAGGGGTGAGTTGCTCTCGTCACACCCCATCACATGATCATGTGCCAGTCATTTCAGCCATGCCCTCTGCTGGACGATCAGATCGGCAAGGACATGGAGACTCAGGGGTGAGTTGCCTCGACTCTTATGAGAATGCTCAAGGGCGATCGAGAGTTTTCAAAAGTGATAGCAAGGATTCTCAAGCACTTTTAAAATCTTCTCTGAACGACCAGGTTGCCCACTTTTAAAATCTTCTCTCTGCCCCGTCTGTGTCGTCGCCGCCCCTTTTTCTGCCCTCTACCAGATTCTTCTTGCAAGGCAAGGACGGGTCGGTGCAGAAGCAGCAGCAGCAACGCACTCTAACCAGCCTGAAGTGGTTCCCTCTCTCCTCTCCCATCCTGTCCACCATGTTGCCCCCCACCAGATTCTTCTTGCAAGGCAAGGACGGGTCGGTGCAGAAGCAGCAGCACGGCACAGTGCGCACCAACTGCGTTGACTGCCTTGACCGCACCAACGTCACTCAGGTGGGTCCTCAGGTGCCTCTCAGGTGATTAGCAGCACAGCACAAGTGCGCACCAACTGCGTTGACTGCCTTGACCGCACCAACGTCACTCAGGTGGGTCCTCAGGTGCCTCTCAGGTGATTAGCAGCACAGCACAAGTGCGCACCAACTGCGTTGACTGCCTTGACCGCACCAACGTCACTCAGGTGGGTCCTCAGGTGCCTCTCAGGTGATTAGCAGCACATCACAAGTGCGCACCAACTGCGTTGACTGCCTTGACCGCACCAATGTCACTCAGGTGGGTTCTCAGGTGCCTATCAGGTGATTCGACAGGTTGCAGAAACACAGCACAGCGTGCACTAACTGTATTAACTACCTCGACTGCACTGCTCAGATGGGCTCTCAGGTGCCAGTCAGGTGAGTTCTCAGGTGGCAAGCAGAGTGCGCCTTGACTCCTCTGGTTTCATCACCTGCCCGCATTTCAAGATAAAGCCTTTCTAGTTCCCACAACCAGACTACTGTTGTGGGGTGACTCAATAAAATCCGCCCCCCCTCCCCGCCCCGCTCCCTCTATTCACCCTTTAAATCGTTCATTCTCAGAGCTTGTTCGCCCGGCACGTGCTGGAGCACGAGCTGAGGCAGATGGGGCTGTTGGGTGACTCATTATAATCCTTCCTACTTTCCTTCCTCCCCTCCCCTGATCGCCCTCCCCTCTTCCTTCTCAGAGCCGGTTCGCCCGGCACGTGCTGGAGCATGAGCTGAGGCACATGGGGCTGCTGGGTGATTCAGTAATATACGGCCCTCCCCTCCATTCCCCCCCTCCCCTCCCCCACCTCCTGCTTCTATTGCAGAGCTGGTTCGCGCGGCATGTGTTGGAGCATGAGCTGAGGCACATGGGCCTGCTGGGACTGAATAGACCCTCCTTCACCTGCCCATCCACTTCCCCCTCCCTTCCCCACTTGGCCCTCCCTTCCCCACTTGGCCCTCCTCTGATTTCTCCTTCTCAGAGCTGGTTCGCGCGGCACGTGCAGGAGGACGAGCTGAGGAACATGGGGCTGCAGGGTGACTCAGTAAACCCCCCCTTTTCTCCCCTTTCCCCTCCCTCCGTTCACCCTCCAATTGCTCCTCTCTGCAGAGCTGGTTCGCCCGGCATGTGCAGGAGGACGAGCTGAGGCACATGGGGCTGCAGGGTGACTCAGTAAACCCCCCCTTTTCTCCCCTTTCCCCTCCCTCCGTTCACCCTCCAATTGCTCCTCTCTGCAGAGCTGGTTCGCCCGGCACGTGTTGGAGGATGAGCTGAGGCAGATGGGCTTGCTGGGGAAGGACGAGAGAGTGGCAGAACACAGCGACTTTGATGCCAAGTACAAGATCAGTGAGTGGAGGGGGATTGGAGAGTGGTGGGTGGGGGGAATTAACAAGGCAGGAGAGGGGGCATTTACGTAAAGGGGACATGCATGCTGAGTGTTGTGAGCTGAGGCATATGGGGCTGCTGGGGAAGGATAAGAGGGTGGCAGAGCTCAGCGACTTTGATGCCAAGTACAAGATCAGTGAGTGGCTGAATTGGTGTGGGGAGAAATGGAGTGAGGAAAAGGAAGAGACAGTAAGAACACAGGCACTCCAGCACTCCAGGCAGACCTCTGCTGTACCTTCCTTCCCCATTGCATCACCACCTCGCGCTCTGCTGGTTGTTTTTTGAGAATTCTCAAAAAACAACCTCCAGCACTCAATGCAGACCTCTGCTGTACCTTCCTTCCCCATTGCACCACCACCTCGCGCTCTGGCCCCACTAATGCCTCTCTCTCGCTTTTTTCCCCTTCTCCCGATATACTCCCTGGCAGTGTGGGCGGATCATGGGGATGACATCGGCACTCAGTACACAGGCACGCCAGCACTCAAGGGAGATTATGTGCATTACAGCACACACCAGAACTAAACCCTAGACTCTCTTTCTCTCCTTTTTCCGTCACTCCTGATATGCTGCCTGGCAGTGTGGGCGGACCATGGGGACGACATCAGCACTCAGTACACGGGCACGCCAGCACTCAAGGGAGACTATGTGCGGTACGTGCGTGCCACCTGTTTTTCGGCGCCCCCAAAGGCGCGCCCCAAAGGACTCCATACAGAAGCATACTGGCATTCGGCATTCCATGCACCAAGCCTGGTCTCGTTACTGTCACAACCCCCATGCCCCACAGCCACAGGTACGGCGAGCTCATCCCAGAAGGTTTAGCTTGTCCCGTACCTTCACGCATTTCGCTCTGTCTACCCCCGTTACTGTCACACCCCCTGTGCCCCGCAGGTATGGCAAGCGCAGCCCGGAGGGTTTCCTCCAGGATAGCTTTCAAGTCTTCTGAGGCTTCTGAGGTACCTCAGATGTTGTCCCGTTACTCTAAACAGGTTGTTCTATCCCCGTTACTGTCACACCCGCTGTGCCACACAGGTACGGCAAGCGCAGCCCGGACGGATTCCTCCAGGATGGGGTGAGCTCTGTGATGCGATACTTCTTCAACAACTACACTGATGGCGTGCGACAGGTGAGGGCGATTCATGCGTGATAGATGCATCATACAGGTGGCTGGCTGTAACACAGCATGGGATGGAGTCAGCGCTGTGATGCGATACTTCTTCAACAACTACACTGATGGCGTGCGACAGGTGAGGGCGATTCATGCGTGATAGATGCATCATACAGGTGGCTGGCTGTAACACAGCATGGGATGGAGTCAGCGCTGTGATGCGATACTTCTTCAACAACTACACTGATGGCGTGCGACAGGTGAGGGCGATTCATGCGTGATAGATGCATCATACAGGTGGCTGGCTGTAACACAGCATGGGATGGAGTCAGCGCTGTGATGCGCTACTTCTTCAACAACTATACCGATGGCGTGCGACAGGTGAGAGGGGCTTGCAAGGGTTATGCGCCAATGAGGGGTGGTGCTGGTGGCTGGGATCCATGGTGGAGTCAGCGCTGTGATGCGATACTTCTTCAACAACTACACTGATGGCGTGCGACAGGTGAGAGGGGGCGACTGAAACAAGTAAGGGTGATTCGAATGGGGGGTGCTGCACCTGGTTGAAACCCAGGATGGAGTCAGCGCCGTGATGCGATACTTCTTCAACAACTATATTGATGGCGTGCGACAGGTGAGGATGACTGAAACGAGTGAGGGAGATATGAATGAGGGGTGGCTGTGTCACAGCATGGGGAGAGCGCCGCGATGCGATACTTCACGTGGCGTGATGCTATACGGATGGCGTGAGAGGTGAGGGCGACTTTAACAAACGAGGGGTGCTGCTGGTGTTTGGATCTCCTCTGGTCAAGCAGTCATGGGGAACTACACAGTCAAGCAGAGCGCTCCATTCATTCCATTCATTTCAGGCTCCTTCCCCTGTCCAACTTTTCTTCATTCGTATCTCAAAGCCTTGTCCTCCATCCGTCCCCCTTCATTGCTATCCCACTACCCACAGGACGGGCTGGATCTGGTCATGGGCAACTATACAGTCAAGCAGGGCGCTCCGTCCATCTCCATTCATCGCAAGGCTCCTGTTATCCTTCCGTGCTCCCTTTACTTAAACCCCACTACTCACAGGACGGCTTGGATCTGGTGATGGGCAACTACACAGTGCAGCAGAGTGCTCCATCTCCATTCACACGCACTGGCATCGAGAGATACACTGTACGTGGCCAAGCCTGTGCCTTCATCTCAGGTGCTCTCTAAAATTCTTGGAAAAACTATGCACAGTACGTGGTTTCACCTTCATATCAGATGGTACCTTGACCTGCGTGCTCCAGTAGGCGGTTAATGAGAACTTTCGTAAACCGCTACACGGTTATCATCATCGTTATATTTTTTTCTCCATTGCCCATCTCTTTGCCAATCGCCTGTAGCACCAACTCCCATCAGCCCGCCCATGATGCACTCACCTGTGCCAGGATGCTAGCCTTGTCGCCTGCCCAGCAGCCACGTGTAGCACCATCATTCATCGTTCCAAACCCGGCTATGGCTCTCGTGCCGTTCGTTTCCTCCATCTCACCTGCTCATCTTTCCATGCAACCGTTCACATGCGCCTTTCCCCTTGACTCCCCCTGTTTCCACCTTGGTGCAGAACCTGAGGGTAGCTCTTGTGGTGCTCGTGGCCTCCACTTACCTCTTCCTGCGGAACGTCATCCCCTGTGAGTTACCCTTCAACGAATCACGTGCGCTTGTGTTTCCTGGTGTTTACCCTTTTACAAATCACTTGCTCTAGTGTTTTTTGGTGTTTCATGGGTAAGTTCTGGCCCTCTAAGTAGTTCTTTCCAGTACCTGTTTCCACCAAGCCTAGCCCAATTGTCATCCCACTCCCAACCCCCATACTTCCCCCATCCCCCCTGCCTCCCTTCCCCTCACTCCTTCACAGCCTCCTCCTCCTCCCCTCTATCGCCAGTCATCGCAGCCACCTCGGTTATGATCGCTGGCTCAATTGCCGTCCTTTCCCCCTCCCAACCCTCCATCCCCACTTTCCCCCTCCCCTCCCTCTCCTGCAGCCTCCTCCTCCTCCCTCCTCTCGCCAGTCATCGCAGCCACCTCAGCTGTGATCGCCGGCTCATGCTTTGTCTCTCTCCTCCCCCAACTCCCCCCTGTTTCCCTCCCCCTCCTTCTTTGCAGCCTCCTCCTCCTCCTCCCCTCTGTCGCCAGTCATCGCAGCCACCTCAGCTGTGATCGCCCGCTCATGCTTTGTCTCTCTCCTCCCCCAACTCCCCCCTATCCCCTCCCCCTCCTTCTTTGCAGCCTCCTCCTCCTCCCCCCTGTCGCCAGTCATCGCAGCCACCTCAGCTGTGGTCGCTGGCTCGGTGCTTTTCGCCTTGAAGAAGTTCGGCCGCCTCTTCTGCGACCGTCCCCGCTTCTGCTCCCTGCGATGAACTGAAAGGGGTGCTTCTTCGTGGGTTTGGATAGCTTCCATTATCTCGATGGATTGTCAATAAAGTAGTGTATCTTTGGGCAGCATACCAATCATAATAATTCTGCATGCTACAACCTAATTCCAACAATGGTCCAGCATGCGTTTGAAAGTACGATAATCAGCTGTTTTTTTACCTACCGTACCATAACATGAAGCTGTCATGGGGTAGAACCAACTGTACTACGAGATGAAGACAAGATTAGTAGACAGAATGTGGATTGACGTGATATCCAAGTGTGACTTGCCTGCTGCTGCTGGCCCACCTGGGAGCAAGGGTGCAGTGCAAGCAGGGCGCAGCAAGACAAGAGGCATCAACACCAGCGCTTCAGACAGCAGCGCTTCAGACAGCAGCGCTCTTGCTGCAAGGCAGCTGGTTGAGGCAGAGCCACCTGGCAGCACATGGCAGGGTTTAGCGTGGAGACTGCAGGAGAAGCAGCAGCACGCATGGCAACAGGGGAAGGCACAGGCATGGCTCCCACGTGTTCTTACATGACAGGTCTATCCTTGCACCATCACTCACCGCTTTGCCCAGGTGGTGCATGCTGTGGGCCCATGTTCATGCTTCATCCGCTGCCCCTTCCGCCCTGTGTTCTATCTCTGGATGCTTCTTTCCCCGTGCCAATTGGTGCACGCCATACAGACCATGCTGTGTGTGCGCGCCCTCCCCTGCATCCGCCCACTCATCCCCGCCTGCACTGCTCGTCACCCCGCCCACTGCGACTCCCTCACATGACCGAGGATGCAAATTCTGTGTGCATTTGGATAAATGGCATTATTATTCGTCTATGCGTCTCCAAAAGGCCAGTTCGTCTGACCAAGATCTATGCCCCAGAGATTTCAGCAGGATCTGTGTTGGAAGGAAGTCGTGCATCGTGGTGATACATTTTATTCCCTTGCAATGTGCCGCAATACAATTACAACAACATTTGAGACGACCCGCCGGATTACACAAACCTGGAGCAAAAGGAAAAAAAGCAACAGAGAGCTTCCCTCAACAGCATGCGGAACTGGTAAAGCGCTCAGCCGCTTGGCTTTCTGTATCTGCCCTTCCTTGACGTCACGTCCATCCATGGTTGCAAGAAATAATGACCACCCCAAGAAGAACACCGAACTTGATTACTCCGGCTGCGACGCGTCGACGCCATGGATGGTAAGAAACCTTCCCCTGAAAATCCCAGAATGCTTAATCTTAGCCTTGCCCTTTCCAATCCGCACTTTCTTCGCCTTAGTCTTCGCGTCCACAACCTCATCCTTCCCCACGGTGCGACCATTCACGTCCGTCAGCTTCGACGCCCTCGCGATGTCGTCCTCTTCGTACACGCCGTCGAGCATCTGCGCGCGAAAGAGCTTCGTGAAGGGGTCGACGTCGCCGCGCTTCATGCCGGTTTTCACCATCATGGCGAGCGCGTCCGGGGCAGAGGAAGCAACGGCGCTGTCCTCGGGCAGCATGAAAGTTTTTTTATCGACTTTGTTGAGGAAATCTTCGTTTGGGTTCCAGTCGGTCTCTGCATCATCGCGAAGAAAACAGAAGCACTGAGTGTCATTGAAACATTGCCAAAGGACATATAACGAAAATTACCAGAAATCGAAGCGAAAGCGACGTGCATAAGTGACTTGCAGGAAATGCAGCAGGGTTTACCCAGTTGAGGGATGACATGGTCAAGAAGCGTGTGGGTGGCGTAATATCGGTTGTTCAGCTTGGAATCCGCAAGCGCGTCGCGGGTCTTCTTCAATTCGTCAATAAAGTCCTCCTTGGTAGGCCGCGCCGCAGCAGGCGCCAGCAGTGACGCGAGCGTGCAGAGGGCGAGAACGGAAAGCTGCCACGACGCCATGGCGCGGATTGACTGTATCCTCAAACGCCGTGGTTGATCCTGCGAGTGCTGGTCTCAATCTTCAGGCCTTGCAACGACGAGGGAGAAAATGGATGTGGGAAGAGTGGCACGGGGTGGAATTTATCAGTGACAAGGGTGTCGCATCACACAAACCCATGGTGACGAAATCGATTGTGACGCGAGCGGTGACAAGATTTCGTAGCCAATGAGAGCAGTAGCCTCGCTAATCGGAAATTCGCCGCCGCGCAGAATGCATTCCACCTGGTGCCTGCCCGTCTGGTGCGGCCAGGGAAAATTTGCCCCCATCTGGCACCATGTGTTACGGTCGCAACTTCATTTGCGAAAGTGGGTGGAGTTTGCGCGCTTGGTGAAGTTGCGAATCAGGTGTTTTAGGTGGAGGGGGGACTTCAGGTGCGCCATGCTTCGGCGTCTAACTGAACTGTATGTCAGGGCGTGTCCAGCGCGTACATTTACAGAGTCCTCGCGCTACAGTTACCACTTTTTTGAATTGTAACCACGTTTTTGGGTTGCGTAGCAACCCTATATATTTGGTTTCACATTTTAGGGATACCATTTGAAGAGTGTTATTTACGCACTTTTTAGAGCACCCGTTTGAATGTTTTGAAACTGTGTTCAAACGGATGCCTCAAATAGTGGATAAAAAACACTCTTGAATGGGATCCCCATATGTAAAACCAAATACTGGTAAACACGTACGTATCATGTTGAAACCATGAACTTGCTCGATCGTCCCAACCTCATCGATAAATACGGCGGATCGTACGGCCGAGCATAATGTTATGGCATCAACATGAACGAATGCAATTGTACAAATGAACAACAAGGTATGAGGTGGACTGGATGCTTCAAAGTGAATGTTAAAATGCATCATGCAGCAACCGAGGTTGATGGGGTCGTTGAAACAGCGAAAACCCGCTGCCCCAAAGACGATTAACAACCTCTAATTGCATACATAACACATACTAACACCACACTTTAAAACACACATCCCACAAACACGAAAGCAAACGCACGTAAAAAAGGTACAACCCACGTAACCGAACGCATCGAAGTGCATGGTTTGAAGCATAGATTCCCTGGGGTCACACACACCACGCTGGTGTGCAGCAAGGCTTCAGCGAACAAGGTGCATTGGTGCAACGAGCTGGGCATCGCCATGCTACAAGGCGCCAGAGAGTTGCAGCAAGGCACCGGCAGAGGAGCAAGCGGGCTGCCGTAGCAAGGCGTGAGCTCACTGCAGCAAGGCGTGAGCTCACTGCAGCAAGGCGTGAGCTCACTGCAGCAAGGCGTGAGCTCACTGCAGCAAGGCGTGAGCTCACTGCAGCAAGGCGTGAGCTCACTGCAGCAAGGCGTGAGCTCACTGCAGCAAGGCGTGAGCTCACTGCAGCAAGGCGTGCGCTCACTACAGCAAGGCGTGAGCTCACTGCAGCAAGGCGTGAGCTCACTGCAGCAAGGCGTGAGCTCACTGCAGCAAGGCGTGAGCTCACTGCAGCAAGGCGTGAGCTCACTGCAGCAAGGCGTGCGCTCACTGCAGCAAGGCGTGAGCTCACTGCAGCAAGGCGTGAGCTCACTGCAGCAAGGCGTGAGCTCACTGCAGCAAGGCGTGAGCTCACTGCAGCAAGGCGTGAGCTCACTGCAGCAAGGCGTGAGCTCACTCCAGCAAGGCGTGAGCTCACTGCAGCAAGGCGTGAGCTCACTGCAGCAAGGCGTGAGGTCACTGCAGCAAGGCGTGAGGTCACTGCAGCAAGGCGTGAGCTCACTGCAGCAAGGCGTGAGCTCACTGCAGCAAGGCGTGAGCTCACTGCAGCAACGCTTGAGCTCACTGCAGCAACGCTTGAGCGTGCGCAATAATTAGTCAGCGCTCTGCCGCAACAAGGCAGAAGCGCACAAGCCGCCAGCGCGTATGGCGCCAGCGCGTTTGGCGCCAGCGCGTTTGGCGCCAGCGCGTAAGGCGCCATCGCGTAAGGCGCCAGCGCGTTAGGCGCCAGCGTTGTTAGGCGCCAGCGCGTATGGCGCCAGCGCGTTTGGCGCCAGCGCGTTAGGCGCCAGCGCGTTTGGCGCCAGCGCGTTTGGCGCCAGCGCCGGCGGCATCTCCAGCCTGCAGGAGCGCGCTGGGTGCTAGAGTGCGCTGGTACCTAGCACCTAACGCACTTAGACGCCTAGACGGCCAAGGCGCCAGCGCGCTGCTAGGCGTCGGCGCGCTGCCGCAGCAAGGGGCTGGCAGCGTGCTGCAGCAAGGCGAATATCACTCTTGTACTCACGAAACATGCCGTTTGTCACGGGCGCTTGTCAGGGGCGTTTTCCACGAGCGGTTTCATGGTCACGGGCGCTTGTTACAGGATAAGGAGCTGAGGTTCATACCAGCGTGAGTCACTAGTGCGGGGTATTTCGTGAGGTACTAGCGGTAGCATGAGGTACTAAGCGTTAGCAAGAGGTACTAGCGTGATACTAGCGTGAGTGGAAAGAACTGGTTTCTTGGTTCTTGGGTTGGGTTGGGTTATCGAGGTGGTTTCACATATGTGAGCACGTGAGATTCTGCTGACTCAGCTGATACACTAGATTTCATGTGCAGTTTGCGTCAGCTCCAGAAAACTCGATGAAAGCGAAAAGCGAAACGCACGTTCCCCATAATACCCCATAATAGTAGAGTCGTAAATCACTCATATACACCAAAAGTAACCACATAGTACGTGCTTAAATTCTTCAGTCGAAATTCCACATGATTGGGCATTAGGTGTGAGATAGAATGTTTTGGTTTGTACTTTTTTTTTTTTAACGTGCGTTTGCTTTCGTGTTTGTGGGATGTGTGTTTTAAAGTGTGGTGTTAGTATGTGTTATGTATGCAATTAGAGGTTGTTAATCGTCTTTGGGGCAGCGGGTTTTCGCTGTTTCAACGACCCCATCAACCTTTGTTGCTGCATGATGCATTTTAACATTCACTTTGAAGCATCCAGTCCACCTCATACCTTGTTGTTCATTTGTACAATTGCATTCGTTCATGTTGATGCCATAACATTATGCTCGGCCGTACGATCCGCCGTACTTATCGACGAGGTTGGGACGGTCGAGCAAGTTCATGGTTTCAACATGATACGTACGTGTTTACCAGTGTTTGGTTTTACATATGGGGATCCCATTCAAGAGTGTTTTTTATCCACTATTTGAGGCATCCGTTTGAACACAGTTTCAAAACATTCAAACGGGTGCTCTAAAAAGTGCGTAAATAACGCTCTTCAAATGATATCCCCAAAATGTGAAACCAAATAAATAGGGTTGCTACGCAACCCAAAAAACAAAACGACTGTAGAGGGTGGAAGAAGGTGTTAGAATAAGCAGGCAGGAATGTTAAGAACAGAAGAGGGGTTTGCACTAGCAGGCAGGTGGGATACATATAGGAACCCTAAAAGGGTTGTACTCTCTGTTGAGTACCCCACTACAGCCTACACAGCAAATGACATTTTGACAGAAGGGTACGGATATATATAACGGTGTTGCATTTATCTTGAGTATGATATCAGCGTCTACGCAACCCTTACGACGTTCATCGTCGAGCCTTGTTATATATTTTTCGGACACGAACACCTATGATACGTAAAACTAGTAACAGCCCACACGTGCGCCGAATCGTTAACATGACGCGAAACGCACGTAACAAACCTCAGAATCAGTCTTGCACGCGTCCACGTTGCTATAGTGACGGTTAAGCGAGGTCAAGGCCGGATTCCGTGAGAATCTGGGGTTCTCGCAAAATTGATTCTCGCGAATATTTCTGGAAATCGAAGTGCCACCCTTCTGGTTACAGCGAAGTCCTGTCGCCACTGTCGCACAACATGATGTTCGGCTTGTGCTGAGAGGCGAATTGTGTCTTTCCGCACATTTTTTTACGCGAAACGAGAAGGGTACACCTGGCGGTACTGTTTCTGTGAGTGATCCAAATACGTTAAAATCAAGTAAAAATCCCAAAGTGTACGCGCTGAACACGCCCTCAGAATCGCCATACCGTATACATAAGCCCGATCGAAGCCCATAGCATACTCTTCCCAACCCCCACCCACCCCTTCCCCTCTCCCCCCACCTCCCTCGACGTGATCTGAGGGCCAAGCGCTGGCGCTCATGGAGCTCCGCGCGCAGTCCAGAGCGCCTGAACCGACAATGTGTATAATCTGGTCTTCTTTATCTTTATACTACTCTGTTTACAAAAAGGAAGAGGACGAAAAGGTGGGAGTGTACAGAAGGGGAGTATGCAGAAGAAAGATGGCACCAGAAGTTGTCCTGGTTATATGATGGAGGCTTTCCTTGTTTTCTTTTCCCCCATTTATCCTTGTATATTTTCAATGTCAAGATATGTTATACATATTTATATAATTGTTTGTAGGTGTACTGGAGATATCTAAACTTGTTGGTGGTGCACCCTTGTTCTTGCCTATTTGTGCGGAGAGTCACCCTACAACGGGAGTGGATTATGGAGGAGGGCACAGGGTTGTGCGGGTGATCGTAGCGCTCTAGCAAAGTTCTTACTACTTGCTGTGTTTACAGAGAAATTTGGCCAGAGTTCCACTAATGAAATTGAAAAGGAAACATAGAGAATTGAGAATTAGAGTACAAAGTGAGGCATGCAAGTTGATATGACTAGAATGGCACTGGAACCCCTTGCAAGCATTCTGCAAGGCGAATTGCCAGCACTGCGTCAGAGCGATTCGCCAACGCTGCAGCAGGGTGGCCTGCCAGCGCTGCATTCGCAGGTGAATATCTGCGCAGGTGTGCACCTGCCGAGTAGGTGCAGGTAGACGGTTGCACCGTCAGAGACATTGCGTAGGTGCCAGGTAGAAAACGTTCCGACTGTTTCGTGAGATGTCAACCATCGAGCACGTAGTCCCATTCCGCAGGTGAAATTTCGCTAAGAACCACCTGTGCGAATTTCGCATGCCTTCGCAGAGTTCCGCAGTCGCGCGAATTCGACCGACCAGTTCGCCGAGACGAGGCTCGCCGAACGGCGCCCTTCGATTAGAGAACGAGGCTCTTCGGACTGCACCCCGTCCGTCAGAGATCACGCGACTCACTAGCAGATCAGAGGACGAGCTCGTCGAACAGCACCCCGTCGACCAGAGCTCGTCGATGGGCTGGTGAATCAAAGGACCACCTCCTCGAAAACCACCGCGGATTCAGAGGACGGGTTGATCCAATGCGACGATCACTACGTCGAATTCACCACGTCGTCGCAGAGAATGCCTGCGCCCAAGCGTGGGCGGGGCCTTTCACTTCGACACTCCCCTGCCCAGCTCAAGCTTGGGCCCCCACACACAAGGTCCACCCATAACCTAAGTAATAGAATACAAGGGGATATTTCTCTGGCGTGCACTCCCCAGCACGCAGATCACCGCACCAGCCATGTTAGAGGACATGGCACCTACTGCTGCACGTCATCATCGTCTGTCAAACATCATACATGTTTATATTGTGTAGGCTATAGTGGGTTTAGCCTTAGAGAGTACAACATTGCTAGGGTTTCCTATTTGTATCACCCTGCTGCCTAGTTCATTACATTCTCGTTCACTTCTAGTTTCTAACATGGTATCCGACGCCTAGGTCAGGACCTAGGACCGACGTTGGTTAGGGCCCACCGTTCCGCCGCGCCCTTGCGCGACCCTGTCTGATAGTGCCTCGCGCCGTCGTGCGCCCCTACCCGCGCCGTCGAGCGCCCTTACTAGCGCCGTCGAGCGCCCCTTCTAGCGCCGTCGTGCGCCCTAGGACAGTTGCGCGCGCCGCCCGTCCACCGCACGCGCAGCCGCCCGCTAAGCTGCACGCGCAGCCGCACGTTAGGCCGCACGCGCAGCCACACGCACGACCGCACGAGAAGCCACACGCGCAGCCGCACGCGCAGCCGCCCGCGCAGCCGCACGCGCAGCCGCCCACTAAGCCGCCCGCACGGCCGCACGCTAGGCTGCACGCACGACCGCACGCGCGCCCGCACGCGCAGCCGCACGCGCAGCTGCCCGCCCAGCCGTACGCGCAGCCGCCTCACGCAGCCGCACGTGCAGCCGCAGCTGCAGCCGCCCCGCGCAGCCACAACAGCAGCTGCTGCCGCTCAGCAGCAGCCCGCGCGCAGGCCGCTGCAGCCGCATGCGCAGCCTGCTGCCCCCGCGCAGCACCACACCCGCGCACAGGCAAGCCGCCGCGCCGCCCTACCCGAGCCGAGCCGCACCGCGCCGCCCTTCCCGAGCCGCGCCGCGCCGCCCTGCCCGAGCCGCGCCGCGCCGCCCTGCCCGAGCCGCGCTGTGCTGTTTCACTGCTGCTGCTGCTGCTGCTGTTGCTGCTGATACTACTACTGCTGTTCCTACTGCTCCTACTGAACCTATGGCTAGTCCTGCAGTTCTAGCTTTCGATGCTGAGGGCCGCCCGCTGCGTTTTGACACCTGGCTCGAGGACATCCATCTGTTCCTCCAGCTCACTGCTAAGGAGGATATTTCGCTATATGATCATGCGTTAGGACTCGCTCCTGCTCGTGTTGCGACTGCTGACAGTACTGCCCGCTCACAGTGGCAGACTCGTGACGCCCACTCTCGCTTCGCCATTCGCAACTCCCTGCCGGTAGATGAACGCGAGCACTTTGGCCAGCACAAGACTGCTCAGGCACTGTACACTGCTGTAGTTGCACGCTACTCCTCGCCTGCCTCTGCTGCGCTAGGCCGCCTCTCACTGCCCTATATGTTCCCAGACCTGTCCGCCTTCTCCACAGTCGCTGACCTCATTACTCACCTCCGCACTAGTGAGACCCGCTTCCGTGCTGCCATGCCCGCTGAGTTTCTTGCCAAGAACCCCCCCCCGCCGTGGCTCACTCTTTACCACCTGGT